GTATTTAATAAAGTATGTAATTATGTATTAAAATTATTATAGGATTTATATCTAACTCTTATTATATCTAATTATTGTTAATCTCTTGTATGGAATACTGTTGTCATATTTGGGCTGGTTCTTCTAACTATGCTCTTTCTCTTCTAGACAAGGTCCAAAAAGGCATTATAAACGTAGTTGGACCCGCTCTATCTGCTAAGCTTGAGCCTCTTTCCTACTTAAAATTGCATCTCTTTCTCTTTTCAGGAAATACTATCATGGTTGCTGGTCAAAGGCGCTATTATATCTAGTCCCATTAATTAAAACTCATTCTCGCTTGACTTGTCATTCAGCAAAGTCACATTCTTTTACTGTATCTATCCCAGCATGCTCTAAAAACCTCCCATTTTCATGTTTTCCTTTTCATAAACCTTCAACTTTCTAAGTCTTCTATCAAACATTTCCTTACTCTATAACTCTATTCTTTTTTTCTAGTAACACCCAATTTAATAGTGATTCCTTGTTGGAAGTGAATCAGAATAAAAAAAAATTAAAAAAAAAAACTATTTTATATAAACATCTAGTTAACTGGTATAATTTGACATTTGGTATCTAGTTACCATGTCAACTTACTAAAGAATGCTTAAATTTGATTTTAATGTAATTATCTAAAACTTAGTTTAATTTTTTTGTTTTTATGTTTAACATCCATGGTATATGTGTTGTTAAAACGTTTGTGTGATATGGATTTGACTTATTTACATTTCTTGACATTAACCTGTTTTACAGATTTTTTTAAATTTTGATGATTTCTTGAAAGATTATCATTCAAGGTTTACAAACTTCTACGCTTAATTACAATTAAGTTCTTATGATCAGTGTTTTCTTTCTCTTATATAAATTAGTCCTAAATAGATTGTCTTTTTTATGGTTAAGAAGCCTAACCTGTCTAATGTAACTAACTGATGTAATTAACTGATCTTGATAATTAAATAAATTAATATTTATTTTAATTTTAAGTATATTTAATAACTAAAATTTATACTTTATAACAAACTAACTTGTATAAAATGTATATTCAACAATTAATAATATTAATTTTTCTGTTACAGTGCTTAAATAATAAGAGAATGAAACTTACTTCATATTCAATATCTACTATAATGTTACTTGAAGATGCTAATGGGCATGTTGAATGCAATCCACTTCCAAATAATGGCTTCAAAGACCAATCTTAAACAATTTAGTTACAAAATTGTTAGCTTTATCAGAGTAATAAATACAAAAATTAATATTAATAAAATAAATACAATAAATATAAATAATTTATAATATATCCAAAATGTGTAAATATTTTTAATAAACAAGAAAAATTTTTTAATTTAATTTATAAATACATGTTTCAACTATATCATAATAGAGCTTGGAGAAAACTGTTTTTTTTTTTAATTGTAAAACCGCGTAACCGGTTTTACACACAGAGTTTTTATTATAAAAAGGAATTTATATTATTGCTGTATAAATCCAATGTAACTTACAGAATATACTAGAGTTAGATCTGTAAACTAAAAAAATTTAAAAACTTAAGCTAAAATAAAAAATTTAAGTATTTTCACTTATCGTTAAACATTAATTTTTAACACATACATGAGTATTTGACTTTTTGAAAATCCCGGAAATTTTTTCTATGAAAATCCCGGAAAATCCCGGAGAATTATTTAATTAAAAATTGATCATTTTACGGGGTTATTCATTTTTATATGCGGGTTAATATTCAAATCAACCACCCATAAAATATCTAATATAATTTAATATAAGCAATAAATAGGCTTTTAAATTTTTATATAGATATATTAATAATTATAAATAATTAAATTTAAATCTAAATAAATGAATAATAAGATAAATAATAATTTAATCAATCAAGAAATTTAATAATGTAATAAAATTAAACAAAGACATGATACTAAATTAAATAAACCATCATCGAATGTAAAAAGTCTTCCTTTTAAGTATTTTAACCTCGTTTACCAGGAAATAAGAAAAATTTGTTTTGAAAAAAGTAAATTGTTTTTTCAAAACAAAATGCTTAAATCATTTTTATTTTGTTCTTATTGCTTTTTTAAAACGCATATAAGAATGAAACGCATATAAAATTGAAAAGACGTGCATATAGGAATGAATAACCCTGTAACAGACAACAAAAACTTTCGTAAACTGTTAAAATGGAATTTAGAATATTTAACTTTTTACAAAATGGAATTTCTAATATTCGAAAAAGTAAATTTGAATGAATCAAAAAGAAAAAAAAAAAAAGAAAAAAAAAAGATAACGAAAATTGATCTCGTAAAAATTTTAATTAAAGAAAACTTTTGCTTAAATGCAAAAGTTGTCATATTTAAAATTTTATCTAAAAATATAAAAATTGTTTTTTCAAATTAATAACAAAATATTTCTGGAAAAAAGTGAACTTCCAAAATTCTGGGAATTTCTGAAATTCCGGGAATTTCCAAAAAAAACTCATCTATGTTAACAATATACATTGAACATATCGCTTTTATTCATTATTAATTTAGTTTGGATCTAATGAACTTGGGTCATCTTTTCTTCTCTTTTTTCCAATTCTTCTTTTTTTTGTGGCAACTCAATAAACTTTTTTTAAACAATTTATATCTGAATAACATATTCATTGAATATGTTATTCTAAAGTAAAAATTTTGCATGTTTACAAAAGTATAATGTAAAAATATACTACAATTTATATTAAAAGTAATGCTAAAGTCAAAATTGCAAAAACAAATTTGTCGACAACAAATTTGTATTTGGACCCGGACCCATAAAACAGGTCATGATAGGTCTGAATCACACAACCCATTTATTATTTTTTTTACTTGTTTTTTATAGCTTACAGAAAAAGGTAGAAAGTAATGACCTTAGTTTCATTAGAGATCTAAATTAATGTTTCCTTTTGCATTGCTCGAGCATTTTATACATATAACATAATAAAGTCAATATATATAAAAGTTGACTTAAATCTTTAGGTTCCTATAATATCAAAGCCTTTGTTTACGTATGTTTTATGAGTGTGTGTTTTTTTAGCTACAAGCTTTGAAACTTTGTTCTATAACTTTATTTTATTTAATAATGCGACAGAAATTGAAAAAAAATAAAAATACACTAAGCGAATACATTGATCTACCTTAGAACTGCTAACATATGCCTATAACTATATATTTATTTCAGCATTCATACGAGTCATATTTTACTAATGCAGAAAATATTGAACAAAAAGTATCTAGAATATATTTTACTTTGCTTTTGTCTTAATTTTGCATTAAAATTATAAGTATTAATCGAAATTTTCCTTAATTTTTGTATAAGGAATGAATAGACTGAAAAATTTAGAAAACATATATCTCAAAAAATATATATATATATATATAAACATGTGTTTACGAAAGTTCTTTTGATAAATTCATAAAAACAGAATGTCTTAAATTTATATATATTTAAAAAAAAATTATTTTAAGTATTTGTTGAAAGTTCAATATCAAAGTGCTTTTTAAAACTACACATATTTTTAAGATATTTGTGCAATCTACGTTACTTCCCACAATAAAAAATTAAATAAAAAAAAAAAAATATTTCAAATAATGCTAAAACTATAAAAAATATTTATTTTAATCTAAGGAACTTGAAGATTATAAAAATGCTTTTTATTTTAATATTTTTCATTTTTTCATATAAATAAGCAAACATTTACGCTATTTGACGACATCAACTTTTACACAGTGTTTTTGACAATTTTTTTTCTTTTTAATGTCCATTCTCTAATCAAATCTTAAGCTGTATTTATTGATTTGCCAGTCTTATGCAAATATCCTTTGCTAATTCCCCCAAATTTTTCAATGGGATGGAATTGCAGATTGATGGAATCAAGCCTTTTGGTATGTATTGAATCTCTCGAGCTGTACCACTCTTCTTAGAATAATGACAAGAAGCAAGATTAGGCCAGAATCAACAGGGGACATGGTGACTTCGATAAAATTGCAAAAGTCTAGCTTGCAAGTATTCTTTGATAAAAATATCAGTTGACAATGTGACCAAAGCTTGAGATCTTAAACCGCAGCCAAAATTTAATCTTTAAAAACACTCTTTCTTCCAGATCCTTTTACTTATTTGATAGATAGAGAGCTCTTGTATTGTTTTATGACCATATAAACAATAGTTTTGCTAGATTCAGATTCTTTAACGATTGAAAGTAACAATGCAGAAGGATTTTGTAGTTAGTTGTGCAGAACTCTTTTTGTTTTTCTAAATGTTTCAATGACATTTTAATAAAGAGAAACATTTTGACTCGTTTGTTGATGTTTTTAATTAATACTGTAATTACTTAATATAATTACGCGAAAAAAAAAATTTAGTATTATGTTAGTGAAAAGTTTTAAAACAAAATTTATTGTTCCAAATTTAACAATCTCATGCTTTATTATAATTTAAAAGATAAGAATAAACTTTGATCATTAAATCGCGCATCAAATATTTAAATACATAGCATCAGTATAAAATTACAACATAAAGCAATTTATGCAATACTGTAATGTTTTCATAAATAATTTACTTTTTTTTTTAATAAAGCATATTAAGAAGTACTATTAAAGGAAAGAATTTTGTTGAGCACAAAATTGTTAAAATATTCATTTTTATTATGTTTTTGCAAGACCATAACTGTTAGAAAAAATATTTTAAAAAGATAGAAACTCAATAAATAATTCAACAAATCAATTAAACAATAAATGAACAAAGTTTGTCTACAGTAAAAAAAAAAACATACATTTTATTCATTTAAAAAAAATATACGAGAGCCAAGAACTGTTCAATTTTTGCGGCTTTGTCTCCACCAAAAAACAGCGGTTCCACGGCTCCGGCTCCACAAGCCTCCTAGTGATTAGCAACTTAGCGATAGTAACTAGTAACTTTGTGATAATAAAGGTAACATGTAACCACGTAAAAAAGTAGATATCCTTTATAGAAATGAAAAGTTCATAAATAATTTCATGTTCAAATAATTTTAATTAGTTTTTCACATTGTTAAGCTTTTTAATTCTTATTAATTTCCAAATCAATTTTGGAACAATGTTTGAAAAAACAATTAATTTTTCGACAGCGCTGTCAATTTCGTATTATATCACCCCAATGCCTATCAAATAATATCAAAACAAGAGCAAAAGAAATTTTTAATGTTGCAGCAAGAATCACCGTCTGGCAGCATTGATTGTGTAGAAAAAACTTTTTAAAAAAGAAAAGCAATTTGCTGAACAGAAACACAGATTTGCTAAACAAATGGAATTAGTTGCCACTGCTGTAGAAGAATCAGAAAATCGATAGTCAGCTATAGAAGTCAATGACACTCTGGCAGTAAAAACCACTAGATGATGACAGCGAATTTACATTAAAAGCGTCAGTACCAAAAGGTGATTTTGACATAGAAGCTTAAATACATAAACCTACTATATTTTATAATAGCATTGAAATTGAATTTCCATTTGAATTTACTTGAATTTGAATTTGAATTTACTTGAACTTCCTGCTCATAAATCAAAAGGAATTAAGAGGTTTAACAGATTTGTTATTTGTTTTTACATCCAGTCGTGGTTCACTTGTAGTATCGCGATGATCCAATAAGTGCATCGAGATGATCCAATAAATCGAGATGATCCAATAAATGCGTAAGAGATGTACATAAGAGATGTAAGTAGGACAAAAACGCTGCATGATGACCAAACGCTGCATGATGACCAAACGCTGCATGATGACCAAACGCTGCAGACAGCTGGCCTAAAGATGATGAAACAATAATAGTTGTACATTAGTCCAGAATTAGCAACTCTTGCTTTGTTTGCACTGCGTATAATTTCAAGTGAGAAAACACAACTTTTGAGTTTAGTTAGTCTGCTAGGGGGAAAACATTTAATTAGGTCATTGCCTAATAAAGAAACTGGCTTGTGTAAACAAATGTGTGGATTGTGGCATAGGGTTGAGGCAAATATTTAATGCCACAATTACAAAAGATGAAGCTCAAAAACAATATCTACTGCAAGTTGTAAAGCAACGTCAAAAACTGTTGAATGCATTATCATAGCATACTGATTACATTTTGGATTTAAAAACATAAATTTAAAAAACTTACCTTAAGTTACACATAAACACAAGTTTTTATTAGTGCATATTATTAAGTGAAAATTGCATGATCTGATATATTACTCATTGTAAAGATTTTGATGATTTTTTTACAATTTAAGCTTATATTATAACTTAATAATAACTTATAAATATATTAATAATGTTTTTGGGTATGTTAATTGATAATAAAAAAATATATAAATATATATATATATATATATATATATATATATATATATATATATATATATATATATATATATATATATATATATATATATATATATATATTATTCATTAATACTTTTGTAAAAAATCATTAGCAATGATTTGTTACTTTATTTAAATGTGTTTCAATAATATATAAAAACATAAGTAAAGATCAAAGTTATTTAATTCAAACAGCTTTCAAAAATGTCTTTTTTTTTCTTCTCAACAAAATCTTTCTACTTTTCGAGAACTTTAATGATTTTTATATAAAGTTTATTAAAGAGATTGTCGCTGTTTAAGTCGTCGCTTATAAAACTAAAATTTTTAAATAATTTTTACTTTTTTTAATTAAAAAATTATATATAATTTAATAATAAGGATAAAAATTTATTATATATGTATATATATATATATTTGTATATATATATATATATACATATATATATATATATATATATATATATATATATATATATATATATATATATATATATATATATATATATATATACATATATGTATATGCATATATATATATATATATATATATATATATATATATATATATATATATATATATATATACATATATGTATATGCATATATATATATATATATATATATATATATATATATATATATATATATATATATATATATATATATATATATATATATATATATATATAATGTGTTATTTTTACAAATATTTCATACCTTTATTTATGCCAGTATGATGTGGATCAAACACTAATGACAAAGTTTGTTTTAGTTCTAGATATACATCATCACAATCACCCTAAAAGATTTATTAAGTACATCATCACAGTTTTTGTAAACAAACAGTATACAATATCAGCAAACCTCCTAAAGAAATTTTAAATTACATCATTGCAATCACCCTAAAACTTTTAAAATATATCATTGCAATCACCTTAAAAGTATTTAATTACATCATTATAATAAAAGTATTTAAAGTACATCATTGCAATCATCTTAAAAGTATTAAATTACATAATTATAAGTAAAATTAAACTTTACATCGCACACAGAGCGAAGATGAACTGCAAGGGAATGATATGAAGAATCAAATAGATGACTAGCAATTAGTAAAGAGGCCAAACCAGCCTAAGAATAAAATATTATTATAATACAATAAGAATTCTAATATTCTTTAAAAGATAAAAATATTTTTTGTAAATAAACTTGATTAGATAACTATAATCATCAGCTAACTTTAAACTTTTTACATAGAGAATTATTTATGATAAAACTTCATTAAAATAATGAGAGATGCAAATACCATATTTTTTGAAATTATTTTTATATTATTAACTCAAATAACTCAATTATTCAATAAGTCAATTATTTATTAGCAAGTATTCTAGTATAGTATAGTATAGCAAGTATACTCATCCAAACTACTTGGTAGATATTCAAGTTAAAGAAACCTTAGTTGTCAGCAAACAAATAATTTTATTATAATTTTATAAAAGAGTAAATCACTTAAACTGTAAGCTACCACCTTTAAAACCAAAAGACAAACAAATATTATAAGTTAATTCTTGAAAGTGCTTCAATATTTAGTTTTAATTTTGATCTGGTTGTCTGATAATGTATATGATAATCAGAATAAAAGCTCAAAAAAATAACTAACATTATTCTTAACATATTTTAAAGGCAATAACAAAAATTTGCCTTTCATATATCATACTTCACTCAAAATGTTTTTCTGCTACGCAAGTCCTTAAATTTTTTGATTTAACAACACTATTCACATTATTTTCAATTTTTTTTGTCTTCAACTTTATTTTTTCCTTGAGACAGTTTTTACATTTCAACAAGGCATTACAAACAATTTTTATCATTTCATCATCAATTTCTACTTAACATATTATAGCATTTTACAGTTTACAATATAGCCCCTCTTAACTAATGCTTACCCATGATGTAATGTAAAAACAAGTATCAAGATTTGACCTTGTATTTTATACCATCTTCAATTGTTTTAAAACTGGTCTAGACAATTTTCGGTTTGACATTTTTTTAAATGATAGTAAAAAACTAGATAAACTTTTCTAAAAAAAAAACTTAAGAGAAATGGAATAATAGGGCATCTGTCTGATATGTCCAAGATTTTCTGCAGCAAACTAGTAATGAAATAAAAAAAGTTTAATTTAGTGAAAAAAGTTCAGTTTTTGGTTTTCTTTAAGACTTCATAACTTTTGCATTTTGGTTACTTTTATGCATTTCAATACTTTGCAATTTTTTTAATATTCCCTCAAATTAAACTTAATATGCTTGCTACTTTTTGGTCTTTAACCAAATGAACATAATTCATTCAAATGGAATTTTTTACATTCAGTAACAGATGCATAATCAGCTCTTTTGGCAGAAAAATCATAGAAAAACTTGTATGAAAATTTCATTTACATTCTTGATTAAAAATTTGTTTTAAAACCATCTCATAAGACTTAACAGTTGTGTTATCAGGGAACATTTTTTTTTAGTAGACCATTCTCCTAACAAGAGTTCAATAAACTGCATACAAAACACATTTCTGTATAGGTTTTATCAAATTGGTCTACTAAAATAATTGCTTGGTTATGTAATGTAGACTATGCAGACTTGAAGTAGCAGGATACTAATTTTGACTCTAAACATGACTTTTTCCCTCCATATAACTTGTCACAGTTTTCTGACCCATTTTTGAAAAGATAAATTGAACATGACATGTTTTGCATTTGGCTGGCTTTTTATCTGTGACATATACCAGCCATTTAAACCATGGATCACTCAACCAAAAAAAATTAGGTTTTTATTTATTCTAAATAAAGAGAATGAAAATATATAAATGACAACTGGGATGCGAAGTTCCATCAATTTTTTGGGATTCCGGACTCCCAATGCACAGATTTCTCAGATGATAAAATTACAAAAAGATGTTTACTTACATTAATTACACGCTAAATTATAAAGTTACAAGGACAAAATATTACAATATCAACATCATCAAAAAAAGTTCAAATAAAAAACTCATTTGTTTGTAAAAAAAGCATATCATCAATTAACTCAGATGTAAATCGAGTCTTGATCATCAATTAACTCAGATGTAAATCGAGTCTACCCATATCTTACGTCAGTGTTGAGCACCTTTCAGTCTTTAAGACTGAAAACAGACACTTGACACTGACTTAGGATATGGGTAGCAACAAAGCGACAATACAGGCATCGTGTACAACTTTACTGCTCAATTGATTTTAATGGGTTAAGTTTTAAAAATTCGTCTAAGTTGGAAGAGTTGTCTTTAAACATTGAATGGATTTCCTGAATTGATTTAAGAGCTTGTCAAAACTCCTTTTTGGTTACATCTAGTTGAACTAGCATTTGTTCTTCCGAAGAATTTTCTTGAATCTCCTGTTCACGCAACATAAATAAATTTAGTTGACGCTTTGCAATTGGTCAAGTATTCTCCTCATTTTCTGAACTAAAGCCTGACACATAAACTGCAAAAGAGTTGCGCTCTACTGCTTTTTTGGTTTTGTTGAATTCATTATTCTTATTTTCATTAGCGAGTTGAATCAGTTTGTAATGTATTTTCCAAAGTCCATCAGCTGCAGTTATCTATAGAAGTATTTATACTTTTTGGAATATGTACTTAAAGTTAAATAAATAAATATATATAAATAAAATTTTATTAAAAAAACAACCTTGTCTTCAGTCGCTGTTAGCATACAGCCATGACTAATATCAACGTAAACTGCTGCAAGAAATAACAAATTTTTGTGTAGCGCGCTTTCTCTATTATCCATTCCTTTTTAGAAATCTTTGGCTAAGTCACTGTTCTTCCCGTCAAGTTCACGCTTTATTGAATTCCAATCAAAAAGGAATTCGCCTGTGGTGATATTTTCACGTTGAAGATGAATAGTAAGATCATTTATATTCACCTAAATATATTAAATATGATTTCAATAGTTAATTTAAAGTTTAGTGAATATACGTTACAGTATATAAAAGATTCTATCAAAACAGATTAATTTTTAAATGATTTTATGGAAAATAATAACTTTAATCACATAATTTAAAATTTTTTTCATTAACAAAAAATGTAGTGAATTTCACTCACTGCTGCATTGTCAACACTGAGCCTAAAATATTAGTTTTATTGATTCCAAACTTATCACTTCTCAATAATATTTTTTGTGTATTCTGCCATTTGTTTTCAATTCAATTGTATCCTGTTCATAATACTTCGTATCAATGGTGCCAAGATTGATCACAGCAATTTCATCATTGTTCGAGTGTTGCGCATTTATACAGATGTAGTGACGCATATGCCTTGATGTAGAATCGACTTTCAAATAAATTAGCATTTTCGATAACTTGTTTTTGATTTGTTTGTGGCAAGATCAATAATTTGAATTCTCAAACTATCTCTATTCATTTCAAATCCAAAATGAGATGAAACTCCACAAAGCTTTTGAATAGGTTCCCAATCAAACGCCTATAGATATTGTTTTTAGAATGCCAAAAAAACATAATTGTTTAGATTTTTTTTTTTAAATTAAAAAATAAATACTAACGAAAAAATAAATTGAACCTGGAATGAAAGACCTTCAACCAAAACCAGCTGTTTTAAGGCTTCTAAAAACTCATCTTTTACTATATACAAATTAATTTGCTGTGGTAAAAAAATATTTAACAAGGATTGCTGTGTAGCGCTGCTTTTGATGGCTGTATATTTTTGCTTCTTATTCTTTTCTTCTGTTTTTTCTTTTAGTTTTTCTTCTTCTAATGTAATAAGGAGCTCTGCATATTTTCTAGATAAGTGTCGTATAAGGTTGCTAATGCAAGCTTTTGCAGCACATGTAATTTCTTTACCGCATAACTTGTTACTTTTATTTTTTTTGGGTACAAGACATTTGAAGCATACTACTCATAATTTGATGCATCCATTCAAAATTTTATTTGTACGATGAAAATGTCTGAAGATCGTATCTGATGCATAACTAATGACCATTACTGGTCAAGATTGTTACACGTGAGTAAATAGCAAATAATATTATAAATAAAGAATGTTGTTATTACTAGTTTTTGTAAACATGCAAAGTATTTTCTTTCTGTTATATATGCTTTGTGAAATTAATTATTTGTAAAATAATCTACGAAAACATAGTTAGGAAAGCTGCTACAATGACAAGTTATGAATCGATGACGTTAATAGTTTTTCTGTAAAAAGAAATGCTGTGCAAAATAATTTTTAATCATTTGTGAATATTAGAGTAAGTATAGCATAAAAGTTTAATTTTATTACTTACATGTGCCAAACTAAATGCATCTTTTTTGGGGTAGGTTAGGGCAGCAAATGAATGATCATACACTGTTCTTGAACATGTAATGAATCTAAAACACTTAGTTTTAAGGCCATAGACAGTTGTATTCAAGCTACACATTGATTACAATCAGGTTGCTATGTTTTCTTAATTTACATATCAACAACCTATTTTTACATTAACACTATTTTAACAGTTTTTTATTTGTGTTATGTACATCATATTAAGCGCCTGTATTAAAATGAAATTTACACTTCTTATGAAAGTCATATTTTTATTTTCGAATAAAGGCTGATTGCTATTTTATTACAATCTAACATTTAGAAGGTAAAATTTTATTACAATCTAACATTTAAAAGGCCATAGTTATGAAAGCTAATGTTGATTTAGACTGTAATAAACAAATATTAGAACAGGCATATCATAAAATTTTAACTTTATATTTTAAATCTGTCAATTGACCCCAAAAATAGTTTCATATTTTATGCATGTATGTATGTTCTATAAATTGTTGATGTATTTCAAATTGTCAATGTTTTCATGCACAATTCTTTAATTTTATTATTAATTACATAAATCTTTACTTTAGCTAAAATTAATTACTTTAATATTTAATTGTTATTGAAAATAGCACAATATCAAATGTGATAAAAACATTTTCGAAAACCCATTAAACACTGTGTAACTAAGAAAAGTACCTGGTTGTTAAATAATATAGGTATCCATAGGAAATAAATTTTATATAAAGTACAACTTCATATTGGTACTTACGCCAAACTTAGAAAAAATAGAACT